AAATGGACTCAAGGTACTAAGCAAATAAGCTTAGAGCTTCCACATTTAAACATCCACAAGTCTCAATGCTCCAATCAAAACAAAAGAGTATACTTCATCTCACTGAGGTTGTGGTACCTCATCAATTCCTGAAAATGTTAGGTAGGGATGATCAATACGTCCAGTAGAGATACATTTAAGAGAGTATTTAATTATTTGAGCATCTACATGACATCATCATAACCCAAACATAATTTAAAGTTTATGTTTAAAATAAAATGGGCAAGAAAACAAATACATTTCTGTTCCATTGAAAATATTTCTCAACACAGGGGTGGTAAATATGCCATGAATCCCTCGTAGGAGCCCCATACTACATATACGTATAGGTTAATAACCAAAACTATACCCCCATATATCCCATGCTTCTTTAGAAATTTCACACATAAAAATACGACAGAATTCCTCAGGTGTGACAAAGCTAAAGAGAGCATTGATAGCCTTGCTATTCTAGTTTGAATTCGAGTAATCATTAGTATCCCATTTGTCAACATGTTTCGGGATAGTAACTTCATCAATGGTAATCATGGGTTCGCTCCACCCATTTACGATGGATTGCCAAACTCTCTCATCAATTAATTTTAAATAAGCTCTCATACGAGCCTTCGAATAAGAATAGTTTGTTCCATCAAGAAGGAGGGGAAATTTATTGTTTTTTTCCCCCTTGATTTGAATCCATAATCAATATCAGGAAGAACAGATCACGCTACTATAGCTTTGCTTGAAAACAAAGGACAAGCGATCCGCTCTGATACCAATTGAAAAATTATAGTCCCATGATCTTGTGATTATTGATTTCAGAGTTTCAAACCACCCAAGCTCAACAATAAAACAAAGAAAAAAGAGAAAACAAAACACAAAGATTTTTACGTGGAAAATCATAGTTGGAATCCACCAACAAGTGATTAAAAAACCACGGGCCCTCAGCCACAATAACAATTCACTATGAAGAAGAGTAGTAAAAAAGATTTCTTACAATGACCAGGCACTTCATGCTTACTTGAGACCTACAAGTAACTTAACATCTATCCTTCAATCAGTGGATGTCCACTATCACAATTGAGATGTCGAATCCACGACTCACTCAAGAACAGTCATGAATTATTTTGCGATTTGGTTTAGACTTGATGATTTCATGAAAGAAAAAATGAGAATGAATCATCAAGCAAACATGAGAGAAATATACAATGTAACCTCACTACACCACTCTATCAGAATACACACTTAAGATACAGACTCAAGGGATAAAAATACACAACTGAACGAGCATGCTATTTATAGACATAACACATTCGCGGGCGCGAGCTGGCAGTCACGAGCACGAGATGTTGGTCGAGGTATACGGAGAAAAGTACTGGAAGCATGTTTTTCTCACAACCTGTTTGAGGTCTAGTCGCGGCCGCCATGCCTCTTGATCGCGAGCACGATGATGCATGGCAGACAAGCTGCTTTTTCAAACTTTTGCAGCCTTCTTCTCTCCACATGCTAAGGCATGATTTTCTCTACTCTTTTACCAGACAAACAGCAGTCTTTGTGCTTAACTTTCTACAAATGTCAATATGCTTTTGACAAAGAAACCAATGCACCAAGACAACACACATTTATTAAACCAAGAAGGATATTACAAGATTTTTGCTCAAGCATGCCATCAAAACTTTTGACCATTATTCCATAAAAACTCATATAGATAATGTATCAATAATCAACAAGACCATATGTTTAGTGAGGAAATTGCCAAACTCATAAGATAAGAATCCTAACATTTTTAATGGCAAAATTATAAATTTACCCAATTTAGTTAGTTAAACTTAACTAATTTAATGATAATTTTTCTTAAAAAATACTAACGATATTATCAATTGGACCAAATTGACACAAAATGTAAAATTTAAAGTCAAAATCGAGTCAATTGAAAGTATAAAGACCAAAATGATTCAAGAAGTAAAATATAGGGACCACCCTTGCAATTTGCCCTAATAATTATTAGAATTTACTATATATATATATATGATAATACTATGTGTACCGTATAAGTTATCACTTATAACTCAATCCTATGGGAGTCATAATTAAAAAAGAAAAAAAGAAAAAAAGAGTTATAACTAAAACCCATATAACTAAAGAGTTTTTGAATTATAACTAAAATAATGTCATAACTAATATTACAATAAGTCATTACTAACACCTCAATAGATCATAACCAAATATCACAAAGATCATAACTATGGTGCATATGGTACACGTCCAAATGTGTGTACCATAGAATTTCCCTTTTATATTTATATAATATAAAATATTACCTGAAGGCACGGTGTAAATAAAATAAGCGAACAAGAAGGGAAAAATTAAAAAAAAAATATGGAGGAAAATAAATAAAAAAAAGGGAGAGGGAATAAAAAACAAATAAAAAGGAAAGAGGGAGGAAGGTGGAAGAGAGAGAGAGAGTGCACGAGTGAAGAAAAATGGAGAAAAGGGGGACAAGTAGGAATTAAAGAAATCTTGACCCTATGATGAATTTGGGAATTAATCTCAGCTATTGATACAAAATGTATCTTCAAGGATTTTGACACATTTTAAAAAATAGTCCTATGTTATTACATAGATTTTGCTTACATTTCATATGTTTTTAGTAATGACACATAAAATAATAAATAAAATAACAAATTACATTGGTACTTTTTATACTTTGATCTTTGTATTATTTTGGTTTTTACAATTTTAATTAACTGGATTTTGACCATTAATTTTTTATTTTTGTATCAATTTGGTCTAATTAATTACATTAGCATTATTTTGTAAAAAAATGGACATATAAGCTACACATGTGAATTAATCCCAATAAATTCAGTGATCATTTTTTGTAAAACAAACCTAATAGCATTGTTAATTAGATCAAATTGACACAATAATATAAAGTGTAAAGATTAAAATAACACATGGGACAAAGTGTAAGGATTATCAATGTAATTTACCTAAATAAAATATGATAGATAAATATGATCATCATGGCAATATTAACGATGCAATGATCATATTTGTACATCACAAAATGCTTTATTATCGTTAGGAATGGTAACGGGGCGGGGCGGGGCCGGGGATCACCCTCCCCGTCCCCGATCCCCAATGGTGGAAATCCCCCCGTCCCCGGCCCCAATCCCCGACAGGGAACCCACTACCGCCCCCTAACGGGGATTGGGTTTCCTCGACCTCGAAAATCCCCGGCCGAAAAAAAAAAAAGAACACAGCTCCAGAAAACAACATCTTCATCTTCAGATCTGAACAACAACAACAACAACATCAACAGATCTTCATCAACATCTTCATCTTCATCTCCACCATTTTCTAGATCTGAAGAACAAAAGCAAAAAAGAAGAGAAAGAGAGAGAGGAGATTCGTGAGAGAAAGAGAGAGAGAGAGAGAGAGACGGAGATACCGTGAGAGGGAGATGAGTCGGCGGTGAGGGAGCTGCCGGTGAGAAGGAGCCGGTGGTGAGGGAGAGAAGAAGCGTGAGAGAGAGAGAGAGAGAGAGAGAGGGGGCAGATATGCTGTTATGTTTTGTTGCCAACACACACCAAACCCCCCACACACACACCACGCACACACATATATATATATATATAAACACACAGCACACACATATATTTATATGCAGATATGCTGTTATGTTTGTTGCCAACACACACCAAACCCCCCACACACACACCATGCACACATGTATGTATATATATATATATAAACACATAACACGCATATATTTATACATATATAAATTGGATCGGGGGGCTGAACGGGGTGGGGCCAGGGCCGAGGTTGGAAAATGTATCCCCGTCCCCGGCCCGAATATCATCAGGGATTTATTTTTAAATACCATCCCCGGCCTGTTGGGGGTATTTTTCGAAAAAAAACCATTCAATTCGGGGTCGGGGGGTCGAGTCCCCGTCGGGCCGGTTTCAAATTGCCATCCCTAATCATCGTACGTGACACATGAGAATATTGTATACAAAATATAGTCATTGTAAATTTATTTGTGGGCAACTGGAGTAATTTAGGAGATCCTGCTTCCTTTTGTCCTTCAACTTCTTCTACCCTGCTTGTCCAGCCAAGTGTGGGCTCGTTTCGAAAATAAGTTTTTTTTTTCTTTTTTTTTTTGACTTTTTATGAAAAGATATATAAAAAGTATAAAGAATAATTTGACAACTATAATGACTTTTTGTTGTTTTAACTAAAAATCTTACTTCCCAAACCCCCCCCCCCCTAAACACCCCCTAATTCAAGTCCAGTATCAATAAAATATTGGTGTTTGAAACAGTTTTGAAAGAACTGTATGAAATATATATGAAGAGTGTTTTTTTTTTTTTTTGGACAAATAAGAATTTCATTCAAAGAGAGTAACAAACATACATAAGAGTTCTCAGATTCTTGTATAGCCAACCAAAAACCATTGCAAGCATAAACTAAAGAATAATGTTATGTGCATCAATTGATATTCTAATTAGTGTATTAATAGATGATATGTCATAATTTTAGAGGTTCTGAATTTTTGAAATTTGTATAATAGGTGAGATCATAGTGTTGAAGTGGCAATGTCATAACATATGATGCACTAATTGGTACATGTAAGACCACCGTAAACTAAAACAAGGAAGCTAAATTACAACCAAGAAAGATCGTAAAATCTCAATAATGGACACCAACCTGATTTCACAGTTATTTAGGGATAGGGAGTATATGTTGTGTGTGAATATTTGTATTATGTAGCTCACTCAAGTCGAGTTAGTCAACTCTTGTCCTGTCCTATGACTGCATTACCAATTCTATAAAGTGAATATTAATAACAATAGTAACCACAACAACCTTCTAATTTTGTTTTGTTTTTTTCAGCTTTCTATCTGAAACTCAAACCAGTTACGGATGGGCATAACCCTGTCTCTCTCTTTAGATTGCTATTAATACAATCATTCATGGTTTGGTTGGCCATGTCTTCTTCTAACATCACCGATCAGTCAGCTTTATTTGCCATCAAGTTTGGAATCAAATTTAATCCCACAAATGTCTTGGCCCACAATTGGACCACGTCAACCAGTTTTTGTAATTGGATTGGGGTCACCTGTAGTACCCGTAGACAAAGGGTTACTGTTTTGGACCTTGGACACATGTGTCTTCAAGGCACCATCTCCCCACACCTCTCTAACCTCTCCTTTCTCGTGGTGTTAGACCAACAAAACAACAGTTTCCATGGTAGCTTGGCACATGAGTTTGGCCATTTACTTCTCTTGAAAGGACTATAGTTGCAATACAACTACTTGGAAGGAACAATCCCAACAAGCTTACACCAATGCTGAAGATTACGAGTGATATATCTGGCAGATAACAACTTCACTGGTGGTATACCAGAAGAATTGGGCATGTTACTTGAGCTTCGTTATCTATTCTTAGGCGAAAATTACAACCTTCTGGGTACCATTCCATTATCACTTGGCAACATCACAAAATTGGAGTACTTGGTAGTGGAGAGAAGCAGGCTGACAGGTTCAATTCCTTTTGCCATCTTTAATCTCTCCTCACTGTTGTGCATTTTTTTTCCACATCTTGAAGAGTTAGTTCTTGCTTACAACCAGATAAGTGGCCCACTCCCTTCTATGCTACACTTGTGTCAAGAGCTTTAACAATGAGTTCTATGTAATAATAGTTTAAATGGAAGTATCGCAGAAGCAATCAGGAGTCTTCCTAAGATTGAGACGTTTTATATTGGAAATAACAAGATTGCTGGAACCATCCCACCTTCTCTGGACAACATTTCAAGTTTGGTGCAACTGTATTTAGGGGATGGCCATATTCATGGAAACATTCCTAATGATTTGGGTCGCCTTTCAAAACTAATTGAATTTAATATTGAAGTGAATTACCTCACTAGGGCAACACCTCAAGAAATATTTAACATCTCCCTACAATCCGTTTGCCTTGATTTTAGTGATCTCTCTGGAAACCTCCCGAAAATTGTTGGGCTTCGGCTTCCAAATCTTATGTTGCTTCAACTGCAAAACAACCAACTTGGTGGAAACATTGCTGCATATTTGTCTAATTCTTCCAGGCTAACAGGGTTGAATCTAGAAGACAACTTATTTACTAGACCGATGCTGACAAATTTTGAAAATTTGTAGCTACTCCAGGAGATCAATGTTTGAAACAATCAGCTAACAAGAGATCTTGGAAGTCCGAAACTTCATTTTCTCACTGCTTTGACAAATTGTAGAAGCTTGGAAAATTTGGTTGTTGAAGACAACCAATTTAATGGCATCTTACCAAATTCTATAGGAAATCGCACAAGTCCCCTTCTACTTTTTGCCGTATCTAATTGCCAAACAATAGGTCACATTCCTAGGGGAATCGGTTATTTTGAAAACTTGAATATACTTTTTCTGGCCAACAATGGTCTGACAGGAACCATCCCATCAACAATCGGGAAATTACAGAGCCTACAAAGATTGCATCTTAATGGAAACAAGATGGAGGGCATCATTCCAAATGAGCTTTGTCTTTTGAAAAAGTTAGGAGAGTTGTCACTCCAAAACAATGGCCTCTCTGGACCAATCCCACCTTGCATAGGAAATATTAGTCTTCTACAGAAGGTGCTACTAGGTTCTAATGCCCTCAACTCATCAATACCTGTAAACCTTTGGAGCCTTGAAAATCTAATAGTCTTGAATTTATCTTCTAACAATTTTGGAGGAAGCTTACCACTGAATACAGGAAAGTTGGAAGTCATAAAAAACATGGATTTATCTCGGAACAAATTCTTGGGAAACATATCGCCATTCATTGGGGCCTTTCTGCTCCTTCGCTCTCTAAACCAATCAAGAAACTCATTTGAAGGTATCATTCCACAATCTTTTGGTGATTTGATAGCATTGGAATCTATAGATCTCTCTTACAACAATCTATCTAGCAGCATACCCAAATCTCTTGAGAAACTTAGGTATCTAAGTTATTTGAACTTGTCATTCAATAAGTTGTATGGAGAGATTCCAAGTGGAGGACCTTTTGCAAATTTCACTGCAAAATCTTTCTTGCATAATGAAGCACTTTGTGGAAGCCCATATTTACAAGTCCCATCGTGCAACCATGGTACCAAAAAATCAAATATGAAAAAAATTGTGCTCACATGTGTCGTAGCAGCCACTGTTTTGATGGCAGTTATTGGATTCTTATATATGCTGAGAAAATATCAACAAAGTAAAGTGCAGACTCCTGATTCTGTTGAATTGTTATCGACCGTGGAGCATAGATTCATTTCATATTAGGAGCTTCGTGTTGTTACAAGTACTTTTAGCGAAGCAAACTTGCTTGGAGTAGGAAGTTTTGGTTCTGTTTACAGAGGAATGCTTTCGGATGGGACAGATGTAGTAGTAAAAATTCTAAATTTGCAAGTTGACGGAGCTTTCAGAAGTTTTGATGCAGAATGTCAAGTGTTGCGAACAATCCGTCATAGAAATCTTGTTAAAGTCATAAGTTCATGCTCTAACCCTGAGGTAAGAGCATTGGTTTTGAAGTGCATGCCCAATGGAAGCCTTGAGAAGTGGTTATATTCTCACAACTACTGCTTGAATTTCTTTCAATGGGTAAGCATCATGCTTGATGTAGCACTAGCTTTGGAATATCTCCATCATGGTCAGTCCGAGCCTATTGTTCACTGTGATTTGAATGAAGCCAAGCAATGCTCTGTTAGATGAAGACATGGTTGCTCATTTGGGTGACTTCAGCATTTCCAAAATTTTAGTTGAAAATAGGATTGCAACACAAACCCAGACTTTGGGTACCCTTGGCTATGTTGCCCCAGGTAAATTTTCTTTTCCCCTTCTGTATTTTCATGATCCCCAGTATTATTCGCAATTGATTAATGTTAGGTATCATAAAAAAAAAAAATATCATTAAAATGATTATGAAAGATTCTCCACCGTTAGATTACACATACAAGAAAACACTACACACTAATTAAAGGATAAAAAATCTTCATGAAATATTTCATGATCCCTAGTATTATTCTTTGCAATTTTTCTTTTTAATTTTTCACGACCATTCATTCAAATATGTGAAAGGTATATTATATTTAAGGAGACATGCGTGTAGGTCCTAATAGGCAAACTTATTGTCTGATAGGTCTTGTGATAATTAATGATATTTTTTATCAAACACTATTAAAAAAATATCACCAGTTATTAATTTTCAGTGATAGTGTGAAAATTTTGTCACAAAAAAAAAATCACTAATTATAAGTTTTAGCGATAGTTTAAAAAAATTGTCACAAAAAGTCTCTAATTTTCAACTTTTAGTGACAATTCAAAAAATTTATCACATAAAAACGTCACTAATTGTAAGTTTTAGAGACAATTTACAATAATCATGACAAAAATGTCATTAATTGTTAACTTTTAGCAACATATGCAAAAAAGTGTCACAAAAAATTATTTTTAGAGACGATTTTATTAAGACTAACTTTCAATAAAATTTAATGAGAATTAAGTACAATTATTAAGATCTATTGATAGTTTATCCTTATATTATTTAAACAACTTGCAGAGGACTTATGAGGATCATGTAGATGGGGAGGCAAGACAATTTCACTTTTTCTTCTTTTGGTAACAAGGTATAGCATATGCATGCAAACAATAATAAAAATACATATTGATGTTCGTTGCCTAACCTGAGAACGCTATAAATTTTTTGATAAAAAAATAATTTTGTATTAAATAATTTTGGATACTAATATATCGCATGCCAGAAATTAATCACTTCATTTTGTAGGTTCCTGCCAGGTTGGACTACTGAATTTCAAGAAAATGAAATTTGTAGACTGCACTCATGGGTATAGTCCACATCACCATAAATTTGAACTTACACTTTAGGATAAATTACAATAATAATCTCTACAATTTAACATTTTTTTTTCGTTTAAGTCCCTAAAGTTTAAATTTTTCCAATTTAATCCTTAAAGTATTAAATTCGAATCAATTTTGTCTTGCAAACAATATAAAAATAAAATATAAGTCCAAAGATTATATAAAATTGTTATAAGGCCCAAATTTTAATTTATTGTTAACTTAATTATCCTCCATGCACATGTTTTAGAATTAATATCAAAGTTTGATTTATCAGTTTTGTCAATATTAATATATGAGTATTAGATACTAAAGAAGTCGAATAAAATAATTTAAATAATAGTACTATACTACAAATAATTATCGAACAAAATAATAATCAAGTTATTAAAAGAACTTAGCGAAAATCTTAAGGAAAGTCAATTAGAAATTATACATGATAAAGGTAAACATTTAACTTTTGTAGAAAATAATACAGATAATTATCCTTATGCTTATTTTTACCGAGTAACCCTCCAAGAGAATCTTTTGAATTAATACTACCAGAAAAACAAAGAAATAGATCTAAGTAATTATAATCTAGATGAATTATAAATAATGACGGAACAAGAAAAAATAATGAAATAAAATATAAAATAATATTAGAAATATCCGAAAAATAAGATAAAATGGATAATTACGTATTATAAGAAATAAATAATAGTAGAATAGAAATAGAAGTACAAGATGACCTATATAAGTAATTAGAATTAATTAGTTTGAGAGAAATATACCAATTATAAAAACACATGTGTAGAGGATAACTAACTTAACAATAAATTAAAATTTGGGTATGATCACAATTTTATATAACCTTTAGGCCTATAGTCTATTTTTATATTGTCTTTAGGACTAAATTGATTCGAATTTAATACTTTGGGGACTTAATTGACAAAATTAAAACTTTAGAGACTTAAATGAAAAAAGGTGTTAAACTTTAGGGACTATTATTATAGTTTATCCTACACTCTATTTTGGGCATTTTTTTGGGTATTTGTATCCTCTTATGGCCTCAAAATAAATGCGTAAATAAATCATTCATAATATCCATAAACCATAAAAGAAGTATTATATTTCAATCATCAGAGTATTCTTTACAAAAGTATTACATGTTGACAACAAAACTAAATGCCCTACGGGCTTACAACTTTCCAAGTCAACACTTGGTTACAACAAAAGAAGAGTTCTAACTCTTTTTACATATAAAGCCCTTGACTTGAATTACAAGTAATACAAAATAAATATAAAAATAGGAAGAAGCCTGCAGCCTCTAAACCACCCAAGCTAAGTCCTCGGAGGCGGCATGTCCCCTGTACCTGAAAATGGTATCCCAAGTAGGGTGAGCCAAAGCCCAGTAGAGATATGCTAAACATAATATGAGAATTAATAAAAAATTAGCATTCGATAAATATTTAGACCAACTTATACCATTTCCATAACCAATCGACATTTCATCCGTGTTTCATTCTGACGTGTACAAGTCCACAAAGGCCATGAATCATTATAAACAACCCAAGCCCATCACTTGGAGCCCAATACATAACCCAGCTGGTGGCATTCAGACACATGGCAGGTGAAGGACGAGCCACATAAGCAGACAAAGATCTGCAAAGTTATTGCCACTGCACATCACCACTAATGCACCCCATCACAACATTTATTATGACAACACCTCCCCATCGGAACAGGACCCCCTTACCCTGAACAAGGTAAGCTACAGCATAGACTTTCGGGAAGGAGGGCAGGTGGGAAGGGACAGCGAAATGATTACCAAAGGATATAAGCAAACATTGAAGACAAGAAGAAGGTTAAGCTTTCTATCTCTAATCTCTCATTCTATACTCTACTTCTCTTCCTAACTTGCTCGTCGGAGGGTTCCCTGGGGGACTACCCCGTTCCCCGTGGAACTTGTTTGCAGGTTATCCGGTGGGCTTGATCATTTGGACTTGGGCTTGAGGAGCTTGGACCAGTTCGCTCCACTCACTGGGATAAACTGTATCATCAGTTGGCGCCGTCTGTGGGAACGCTTTGTTCTTCGCGCCAGTTGTGTTCACTGTCGCCGGAGACCCCATTCCAACAACCTTTTCCTTCTACCCGTCAAAGTGTATGGTCACGACTAGATCCATGGCTTCTCACAATAATGCTGCCGACCATCAGGCCGACCCCCCCAATCCAAACAACCCACCGCAGTATTTTATCAAGCTTACCAACAACATTAACCGCATGGCCGAGCAAAACCAGGCCCTGATAAATACTTTACTCCAAAGAAACCTTCCGATGCCTCCTCCACCACCTCCAGATATTCTGCCTAACCAAGAAAGAGCCCCGAGCCATACTGCTCCACAACCCAATCCACCCAACTTGGAAGGTTTGCAACCTCCTCACCCACATATAAATGCGCCACCACCACCCCCACCCCCGTCGGTCGTAGCACCAGCCCCTGAAGGGGAAGCAAGCAGCGTCCAGCCTCCATTGACTGACCATGGTGACCATGTTCCCTTCTGGGATGCAGAACTCCGAGCAATGAAGCTCCAACTCCAAGGGGTCATGCAGAACATTCAGCATAAACCCTCTACCACGGCAAATTCACCATTTGTTGCCTCCATCCGGGACAAACCTCTGCCCGCCAAGTTCAAGATGCCCACCATTGACTCTTTTGACGGTACGACGGACCCAGTCGACCATTTGGAGATCTACCGCATCCTCATGATCCTCCATGCCTTCCCTGACGAGATCATGTGTCGGGCTTTCCCCGTGACACTGAAGGGGTCACCTCGACTGTGGTTCAGCAAGTTACCAGCAGACTCTGTCTCCACTTTCTAGCACCTCAGCGACTCCTTCCTCAGCCATTTCATTGGAGCCCAGCGCCAACGCCGCCCGGCAACCCAACTCCTTAACATCCGTCAGACCGGGGGGGAGTCACTGCGCAGTTTTGCTACCCGTTTCAATACCGAAGCCCTGCAAGTAGCGAAAAATGATGACGAGGTCATCCTCATGGCCTTCATGGACGGGCTACGATTGTCTGATTTCCTCTTCTCCCTCTCCAAAAACCCCCCAACCTCCATGGCGGCCTTACTCTCCAAAGCCCAAAAATACATGAATGTTGAAGATTCAATAGCCGCTTGGCAGGATCCCATGGCTAAAAACCCGACCCCCAGAGAAAAGAGAAAAGACTCAGAACCCAGAAACACACAGTATAATAGCCAAACACCCCACTATACAGACCGACCCCCTCGCGCTGACCGGTCGGCACCAGCCCGACCTCCCGGTCGGTTCGAGCGGTACACCCCCCTTAATTCTCTTATGGAACAAGTCCTCAACCAGATCCAACGGGACTACCCCCTCAAATGGCCCCTACCTTCACGGTCCCCTTCCAATCGGAAAGACCAGTCCAAATATTGTCGTTTCCACCAGGACCACGGCCGTAACACTGATGATTGCATCAATCTCAAAGATCAGGTCGAGACCCTAATACGTCAAGGGCGTCTCAGCCGGTTCACCGACACCCGCCCACAACAGAGGCAAAGAACCGAGCCCCTCAAAAACAACCGCCGGCGTACCCCACCCTGGCAGCCAGCCCACCCTAACCAAGGCCATGATCGCCCCCCACAATAGCCTCGGCCGCCAGGCAATCCCCCTCCGCCAGTCAGTGAAATCCGAGTCATTTCAGCTGGCCTTGCTTGTGGGGGACCCTCCCGCTCGGCTCAGAGGGACAGAACTCAGAAAGATAAGGCAAGGCTCAGACAAAGGCGGTCAAAAATGGGGTGTCTACAGCCATGATCGCCCCCCACAATAGCCTCGGCCGCCAGGCAATC